TAGCTCGCTCACTTGCATGGTTGCTCGCAAATTCAAGAACAGGGCCTTGGTATCATCTTTCTCAGAAACTGGTTTGCATCCGCCGATCTATGAATCGGCGGAGGAATGGAAGGTGATCTCTGTATTAATGATACTTGCCTACTGAACCAGACGATGTACCAGGTATTTGACTTACCTCTCCGATGTTTGAATGATGGCTCAGTTGACTGACGGTCGCAGTATACTCGAGCTTATCGGTGTTGAACATCTCATTCAACTTGATGCATAGTTCGCCCAGTCGTTCATTGAGGATCGAGATATTGTCCCATAAAGAATTGGCTGGAAGATAGGCAACCCGCAAAAACAAAAGATTGAGCTTTATACGAGTTTACTCATTGTAATCACACAGAGATTGAAATTTGAACTGACCTTCGTCTGTGTTGGCTTTTCTCCATGAAAGTACTTTCCCTACCATGCTCGGTGTGTGGCTACCGGCATCCACGTCTGCCAACATCAGAGTTGTCAGAGGTGGTAAGGCAAATGGTTTTACCCGCGGTGCGGTGTCATCATTGGTCCAGAGAGGGTTCATTTTTGGATCCAATAGAGCCAACAATTCCGCCGCAGAGCCCTAATTGGATAGATCCTCAGTCATTTTCAAGCAATCTTCGATTGTCGCGCACGACGGCAGAAATTGAAGATTACCTCCACCCCCGATGCACTCGATGCAAGTAGACAATCTTCTGAAAATCGCCGGTAAACATGTGTTCCCCATACAGCGGCACTGATGTCGAATCCGCTTCCAATTTTCCCTTGAGCTGTTGAATGGACGTATTGAGCAGGTTGTGTATGATGGTCATAGTTTCCTTTGACATTCCACCTGACACCTGGTCGACCAAGAGATTCGGCGCTATGCGGAGTAATAATGCACCGCATACTGAAGTCACCATGGCTGCAGATGACCCCAAACCAGTCTTGTGAACTTCTGCAATTGGAACACCAAGTGCATTGAAAGGTAGTGGATTAGACTGGCGTAAAAAGGGACAGTTAGAGATTCTGCAAAATTCACATAGACCTCTTTTGGCATTCTCAATATCGTACCTGATCTCTTGGTTGAGAGTAAAAATCATTGTCTGCCAGTAGGACGATCGTTCCCATAGGAAGAGACCCATTGGTCACGTGACTGGTTCCATGAAGTACTTCGAAGCCCAGCGATCCATTCAATGCAAATCCAAGGCGAAAAGACTCTAGGATGGCAACTTCCACAAATGGGTTTCTAGCTGTTAACCTGTGGTTTAGCAACCCCGATCCAAAGTAAGTAACCGCCCGAACGTGGCCAGACTGGCTTATAGAACGCTGACCCTTTTTTATCGGACATCTGTCTTACAGCTATAAAGCTGTGATTGGTGTCTTGCCGCGTAGTCCTGGTGATCAGATAAGTCCATTCGGCATCCACAAATTGGGGAGATCGAAAAACGAGCAGTAGTTTCTCGGAATGAGTATTTTGGTCTTCCATGCTGGCGGAGTCACCTTCCAAGGCGTTTGGATAGGCTTCATGGGTAAACTTTGCATCGAAGTAGGCGTAGAAACGGGAAGAAGTGGCCACCACTGTGCCAGTATATGCTGGATCTAAAACCAGATAACCTCCGCCTATGAGAACTTTAGCTGGACAAGAAACGAGGGTATGCATGCTCGTGAAACGACCTCCGATGATTACTTCGCAAGAATTAGGTAAAAATCAAAAGACGAAAGATATCGCAAATCGAGATATTGATCGCACCACAGAGTCGGGTATTCGCAAGTGGAAGGAGATATGTACTGCTGAGACTGCAGAACTCATGTTGAAATGATAGACATGCCCCACATCTCGCCCCTCACTTTCAACCTCTTCATTCACTCCTGTTGCCACTGTTCAATTATCCTATCCCGAGTCCAGACCCGGCTCCGACTGATGGTGTGGATATTCTATCAGTGATATATCAGTGACATGATCACATCATAGCTGTCAACTTTCAAGCTACATATGTAACACACAGGTGCAACTACATACGACTGGAGAATCAGGGGGCTTGTGATTGGTTGAATGATCGAAGCGAGATGACATGTGAAATGTGAAATAAGTGGTGTAGTTATAAAGTGGACTTTGACTGCCAGCTTTGTTGCCCATTACCTTTTGCCTTCTTGAATGTTATTATCCTCACACCGCATTATTCTGAAGCGCCTGCATTTCAAGCCCTCATCGTTATCCTTGCTACAACCTACATTCCTGCAAATCCCTTCATTCGCCATCAAGCAAAGGTCAGGCTTTCACCCCCGGACTACTTATAACATGTCTTCGATCGCACGTCTACCTGCTGGCAAGAAGTCTGAATGGAAAGACGGTTTGATGTATGTCATAAATCATCAATCAATGAGGTCAACGACCACTCCCGCCACTGTTTTGACGTGAAATTGTGATTTTAATTATAGGAAAGAGGTGGCTTTGAATCCCGAAGATGAAAAGTCGCCAAAAGTCTTAGTGTCACAAGTCAACGGTACAATCTATGCTACGTCTGCAAAGTGTACCCACTATGGCGCCCCACTTGTTAAAGGGGTTTTGACTTCGGAGGGCTGCCTCACTTGCCCATGGCACGGCGCAAAATTCTCAGTATGTACCGGCGATATCGAGGATGCTCCTGGTTTGGACAGTCTGCAGGCATTCAAAGTGGTGATCACCGATGATCAAGTGTTTGTGGAGGTTGAAGCAGATGTGGTCAAGAAAACGGAATACGGTCGAAAGCCACAGGCGTGCAAAGCTTCTCGGTTTCAAGAACCAGGCGTGGTTATCATTGGAGGAGGGTCGGGTGGCCATCACTTCATTGAGGAGCTTAGTAGACTCAATTACCCTGGAAAAGTGACGATGATCACTGAGGAGCCACACTTACCTATTGATCGGTAAGTAACGGTCTTATCGATGATTACAGTCCGGTGAGTTGCTCGGAAAACTTAGTGCTTGATTTACATCATTCCAGAACGAAGCTTTCCAAGGCACTTATTACCGACCCTGGTAAAATCGCGTTAAGAGACGAAGGCTTTTACAAGGAGTCAGGCATTGATGTCAAGATTGGTATCGTGCGTATTCCGTTTCTGCGATAGGGCTCGCATGGTGTGCGGACGCCGGATAGGATTGATGACGTTGTGATTTTGTATTAAAGTCAGTCAAAAAAATCGACCTCGCAAAGAAAGCAGTGGAATTGTCCGATGGTAGCACAGTGCCTTATGCCCAATTGGTCGTTGCAACTGGCGCAAAAGCTCGTACCTTACCAATCGATAACAAGGATCTCAAAGGGATCTGTACTTTGAGATCAATCGAGGATACGAAGAAGATCGAACCACTCATCACTTCACAAAAGGGAGAGAAGAAGTCACTAGTTTTGATCGGTTCTAGTTTTATCTCCATGGAGCTCGCTGCATTCGCCTCCAAGAAGGAGAATTTGACCGTGCATGTGGTTGGTATGGATAGTGTGCCACTGTCTAACATTCTAGGTGAAAAGATCGGTCAAGGATTGAAGAAGTTTCATGAGAAAAACGGCGTCATATTCCATATGAATTCCGGTATCAAAAAATATGTTCCTTCTCGTAAGCCTTAGCACTTTTACTCATACTGGACATGATGATATAGCTTTTTGCTGATCTCTGTCGATCAAACAACTTTTAGAGCATGATTCTTCACAAGTGGGAGCTGTTGTTCTCAATGGAGACGAGACTCTCACGTGTGATTGTGTGGTTCTAGGTGTAGGTGCCCAACCCAACACAGAACTTTTACGATCAGCTGGATTCGAACTCGAAAAAGACGGGAGTGTTTGTGTAGACGAGCATATGCGTATCAAGGATCCCAAAGCTGAAAACAACATCTTCGCAATTGGTGACATTGCCAAGTATCCAGACTTACTCACTAATGGAGATCTTACCAGAATTGGTCAGTAGCCTACCTTTCATATTTTATGTTTGGCGACTGATTGCGATATTTGTAACTTTATTGACGAGTGTGATCTTTTTCAGAGCATTGGAACGTGGCTGGAAACCACGCAAGAACAGCAGCCAAAAACATCTCTCGTGGTCCCTCTTCTGAGCAGGTATCTTTTACTAAGCCAGCTATCTTCTGGTCTGCTCAAGGTCAACAATTGAGATATGTAGGCACGGGTAAAGCGTCACAATGGAAAGATGTGATCATCGATGGTAATCCGGATGAGATGAAATTTGTGGCATACTATTACATTGATCAAGAGGTGGTAGCGATTGCTACAATGCAAAGGGATCCTATAATGGTCCAAGCTGCTGAACTACTCAACCAACGAAAGTTTCCATCGGTGTCCGAGGTAAGAACTCCACATCTTCTAGAATATCAAGTCTGCCATACTGATTCAGTCGAGTTTTCCTTTGTAGATTAAGAAGGGCGTGGATGTAATGACTCTAAAATTATGAAGGCTCAATATCATGCCTCATTTTGTAAATCAATCAGTCTAAAGAGACGAATTGAGAGAATATATATGTACATTACAAAAGTAGCCTGTTGCATTAAGGCGACGATGTCTTTTTGTAGCATTATGAAAATTCAATTCTTTGTGATTGATCACTTATTCTCACCTCATCTGAAGGTACAACGCGGCTTGCTGTGGACAAAATATCTGCGGCTGAGCAGTATTGAATTCTGTTCATGACTGAAATCTGTGATTCTGATTGATACTCACTTGAGCAGCAAAATGCATTCCAAACACCGTGTGTTACAGATAGGTACGCGCGATGATACATCCTACATAGCGTAACTCTTCCCCTGGATGCCCTTTCTACAGCTGTCTCAGCATTCATTGATTTCTTTCTTGAAAGATTCGTCTGGGGGAACACCCTGCTTGACATATCTTACCGCATGTTCTGTTGGTAAATACAGCTCATCTTTACAAATGACTGCTTGGTACTATTAGCCAATTCACCGTTCGATCAGGAAGACTTGTGGTACTTGAAAGCGGACATGCAATCCGATTCAGCTTAACATATTTGCAGCCGCAGTTGACAGTCAGTATTGACGGACGATGGTTTCTTTGATGTCGAATTGAGTGGGGTATAGTTGGATGGGCATAGTGCAAAGGCGAGAAGCAGCGGTGAGGATTCAAAGACAAAAGGATGTTCATTGGCGTACGGCGTTGCTATCCAATCCGCGTTTTATCTCTTTGCTCGAATCCAACAGCAATGAGGACACAAAAAACCGCCTATGAGGGCGGCAAGCTAGAAATTCTTGGAAGAAGAACTGAGCTGCCTTTTGTTCTTGCTTTTGATGTTTTTGTTGCTCAGCGACTAGATCCTTGAAAGCATGGATCCTTTATTTCGCCATCAACGCTCCGCCCTCTTATCAGCTTCGAAATACGCAAGAATGTCCCCTTGTCTTGCTTTTTAATTCTCCGTCTCTTTAATCTCTACAACTTGAATATGTATTGATTGCCAGATTATCTACCGCTGTACTACTCGTAACCTATTAACGTTATAATCTGCTTTTTAGCAAAACTATGGAGACTCCGGGCGCGCCACAGATTATATGCCATCCGACCCAAGAAACTACTTACACTATCTGGATTAAGATGGTTTCAGAACCGATAGCTCAAGACGATAGAGAACACGAATTCCCAACCTCTGTGAGTGAGATTCGTACGCTGACTCTTTTTTCTCTGTTGCCTTGATGCTGTGTAAAGTGAGATCCTCATGTTGGGATAGCCTAGTGGATATCATGGGGTAGGCTGACCGATTCATCATTTTGATTCCCGCATCATATTGAGTAGATTCAAGAAGAGGATCCAGCCTTGTTTCCATTTGAGGGAAACGAAGAGGAAATCGACATATCATCAAAGCCCATGCTGGCAGGCACATCCTCAGAAGTAGATTCCCTGCCGGATTCCGATCTCGTAGAAACCAACGATCAAGCGGTCATATTCAGTTCAGGCTTTCACGGGTCGGATGTGACTTTGATTCAACCTTGGAGTCCTGAAGACTCCATACGAGATCATATAGACACGAGAGACGTGTCGTCAGCATCGAGTTCTTCTCCGATCATTGAGGTACGAAAACTCCTACTTCTGCCTCCGAATCCTTTGACATTTTGAGCTGATCCTGGGTCCACCTCGATGTTTCTCCATCGCATGGCCGTCGAGCGTATCACAAAATTCTCAGAGGAACAATACATGGACAAATGTGGAAATGATCGAGACAATGTGGCCGTCCAGACCTAACAATCACCAAGCTACCTCAAAGCTCATAGAGTCAACTTTGGTGAGTACACCAGAAGAGCTCAAACCTACAAGTTCGCCGCCTCGCATGCTTATAGCGGTTCTTTGAAAATAAGCGAACTGCTTATTTGATGTTTCTAGCCTCCATCGTGCCACAACAATTCGATTTGAACACAGACAAAAGTTGTGGATCTGCAAGAGGTGTTTCAAAAAGGTTTGCCTTACCATCTATTGATATGCCCCCGGACCATACCAAGTCGGTAAGTATCCGATTCAATATGTTTCCTTTCGATGCATTTCTCGGAAAGTCGATGGTGCTCAATTTACTATCATGTCTGAAAAGAGCGATGATGCCCTTCAAAAAAATTCAAGTTCTAAAAAGCTGACAGCATCGGTAACGAGTAATGAAACTGAATATGACATACGGCAAGATCGTTTGGTGACGCCTTGGGGACCCGCAGATCGCATTGATCACCTGCCTTATTTGCTAACCAAAATACTAAAGAAAGCTGATGTTTTGTCCAATACTATATCACGTGAGCTTTTTATCCATACTTGACGATGGTCATGCAGGATATTGATGTTGTTTTGGGTTTTCTAGCGGACTCTGACACATCCAAGAAGGGCTTCCCCAGTGTTTTCAAGAGGCACTCGATACCGATTCTCAATCCTTCAGCTGAAGATCAAGTTCACGTGCATGATAGAGCAGCCGCGAACTCATTTAAATCTCAATCTTCATCTTCGCCCGCATCGAGTAAGGCCCATTTTGGGCCACCGAAGCGTCTTTCTTTGAACCCAAGTCAAGATCTTGAGAAATTTATTCAGCGGAAATTGGTCACTGCGGAGAAGCATCAACTTGTCATTTGTGCTCAAGTCGCGAGTCAGAACATAACCCAAAAAGGTACATCCATTGATGATGGAAATTCACCCGTGATGCATTCCGATTTGCTTCTGCATCATCTCATTCGAGATGGACGCCCTTTTTGTGGGCCCGACTCAAGTCACAGCTCTGAAAGGTCCGAAACGAGTACTTCCTCTAAAAAAATAAGCATTGTGAATTCCAAGTCAATATTAAATGAGATTCAACGTGGAAAACATCGATATTCTTATGCATCTCCAACGCGAGGTGTGGATCGACGTTCTCTAAGAGGCGCTTCCATCGAGGAAACTCCCAAGAAACTAAGGAGCACCATTTTTTCACCACTGGTTAGTGTACACATATATTTCCTCTGTCTTCTGACCTTTGCTGATTCTTTAATCCTTTTGAAGGTGAGACTTGTAAACCGTCTTGCGGTTTTGTGCGGATGCTTCACTCCCTCTTGATGTGCTATAGACTGCACCACCTACTTCATATTTGCACGGCTTGTATCAATTTTGTCAATTTTGAGATCATTAATTTATTCTTGTTATTTAGGTTTTTGGACGCTCGTCCTCAGCTGCTATGTCACTTTGTTTTCCATATTGACCTCATCTTGTTGATCAAGTTGAAGAGTACATGGATTTTGAAAAAAGAACTAGAACAATTTACCTTTCGCGACCTATTGTTGTCAATTTCTTTTCTAGGAGAACCAAGATTTGAAAATATTAACTCAAAGTGAAACCCACTGGATTTCTTTGGAGCAATTTTAGAAATTTTCTTCAAACAGTCTTCCATTTGGGTTCAAAATCCGAACTCCAGTTTTGTAACACATTGACTTGAGTTGATCATATACTTTAAGAGATGTTTGTGTCCCGTTTTACCTGTGGATTAGCGAGTACGAGTTTTTCAAATTATGCGAAGGAGTCTTTTCTTTCAGTGAGATCACCATATGAATCATATCATGATGTCAACTGCTCGTTGACTTTTTCTCCAGACCCCCGACTTTCAACAAGCTAGGTGCAATCGCAGTGCCCTAGATATATTCGACGGCTGCTGGTCGACTTGAGATTTTGGTGCTCAAGACTCTCGCAAGAGGGACCGGGCTTCTCTTCGGACCTGAGGCTGTTGCGAAGGATCAAAAAGGGCTTTGAGATGGTTTTGGGGCGTGGTTTTGAGAAGAGCACTTGGCCACTAATGTAGCAGTTTCCAGTTTTTCATCGCTAGCTGCTCGAGCTCCCTCATATGTTTGTGGTCCGGCCAGAACGCATAACCCGGTCTGTGAAAGCCGCCTATTCAACATGCCCACATCTTCAAGATCACATATTGAACGAAACATAGGGCAGTCAACAAGTTTGTGCATGGGCGCTCAAGCCTCTGACATGTTTGTATGTTGTAAAGGTCAAGCATGGTAAGACAGGCTCCCAGGACCTGCAATCAGCCAAAAAACTCACGCTTTTGAGAATTCCGAGATCAGACTTGAGAAAGGCCTAGTGCTCTTCCCTTGTACCTCTTTCTCTCGTTTCCACAAGTTGACGCTATTACAACTTGATATCCTTCTTTAAGAGCAACACAGGAAACTGTTCTTCGCTGACGACCCATTTGACAGTATTACCTTTCACCAAGACTGAAGACACAACAAGCGAAAGAACACTGTCTTTGGGTCTTCAGGTATCACTTGAATTTCTCTCTTGAATTCGACATCTCTCGCTCGCGCGTCGCTGGCTCATCAAGCCACTTGAGTGTATCTAACAGTCGAAATGGTCGAATTGAACAGAGTCCAAACTTTTCACTCGTTGAAGCAGACCGTTACCCTCAATCTCGCTCAGGATGTAGAAACCCCCACCAGTTAAGCTCTCATTTGCTTATCAATTCTCTCGCGTCTCTTAAGCTTGCAAGCGCGCAGGATCAGGTCTGCACACCCAAAATCCGACTGGAGCCTGGTTTAGAGCTTGATAATCTAATGCTTTTCCCCCTTTGATCTGTCTTCCTTGGCCCTCAGAGATTCAAAAGCTATCCACAATCTTCAAGTTACAGCCCAAAGACACCCAACGCGAATCAACTGCTGAACGAAACAGGACTCGACGTAATGGACCTGCCGGAGGTAGACCAAACACGCACCACGTGGAAAGTTTATTTAGGCGAAAGAAGTCTGTGAAAGCGAAGATTGCGAGCGATCACCTGCTGCCAATATTTCAGCCCATGAGTATCGTAAATGTGAACCCCATCCATTCGGTTGATCGGAAGGAATTCGACGGGAAAGCTCAAGGACGATCTGGCTCAGACATTCGACGCGCTGCCAGAAACTTTTCTATTCGCCTAAAAGATCGAAAGACCTCTAGAGCGGTTGCTACTCTTACAGAAATCCTTCGCGCATCAGCTCCAGCCAACTGTCAAGAGAACTCAGAGGAAAAAAGCGAGCCACTAATTCTACGAAGCGGCGATCATAGCGGTACATCCTCAGCAGCGGCCAGGAAATCTTTCAAAGATGTGACGGACCGGTTGACCAAGCCTGAACAAGCCAGTAGGATTATCGCCATCTTGAAAACCCAGCCACATCCATCACTGAACGCTACAACAGCTTCTTCCCATGTAAATGTTCAAGGAGTTTGTCTCGTGACGCCAGATGACAGAACAGGTTCGCAAAGCCTCTTGACGCTCCAAGCCAATAGATCTAGCGACGAAGCAACAAAAGCTATGATGTTGAGATTGAATCCCTCAAATGGAATCTTAAATCTCGTCACTGGGATGTCATTGGGGACTGTTCTGGGTGTGATGGCGCGTACTTCTGGTCTGTTTGACGCGTTAGCCACGTGCACCGGTGAAATGATTCAACACAGCGAGGCTCATCAGAACCTGATTGGATTAGTGCCGACTGACAGAGTTAGCCTTTGGAAGTGTACGTGAGCTTTTCCTAGTCGTATACCATGATGCTTGACACATCTATGTCTTGTCGTGTTTTATCTGTTTTGCCACAAACTGATCCCTGATTCTTTGGTTTGCGATCAAATCAGATTGGTGGGGGTTTGAAATCGCTTTGCCGCCACCGAGTATAGCTAATTTAGAGAAGACGAAATCGATCAGTGCCACCTTCCTCCAACTATTGATGGGACTCACGGTTGCAGGGGGGATCGTGGAGCTCACCCCGTTCATACAATACTTGAGCTCATACCTGGATATGGAGTGGAAAGCCATCCTCAGTCAAAACAAAGGTAGGCCTGGAGCCGTTAATCGAAAATCATTGTGTCCAAAGATGCTGACAATGCCTCTATCAATAGGTCGCGGTGTGGTTCTAGCTGCCACCTGGGCCCTTCCTGTGGCAATTGTGCCCCGGACATGGGATTTCGATCAAGTCATCCCCACAGACCCCTCTTAAAGTTACTCCGATCATACTTGAAGGCTGTGATTTATTCTTGCGTGCCGACTCTCATCTGTGTTCACATCAACTTCTGTCTTTACCATTTTTTGTCCCTTTTGTATCTTCTTGTTAGAGTTCTTGTTCTTGAGCATTTTCTGTGAGGCTACATCTGTCTTGTCAGCATTGCAAGTTCGGGGTTTTGACTTCAGTGCACGCAGCTTGTATGCTCACCAAAATTGAGTGAAAGACCTGTGACGTTCAGGTCATTAGCTCTGATAAAAGCTAATCACACTTGATCGAAGAGAAAAACAATACCTGTGACGTTCAGGTCATTAGCTTTGATAAAAGCTAATCACACTTGATCGAAGAGAAAAACAATCTGATGAAAAGAAGACTGTTTTAAACAAAAGTTTTGAGTTTGATGAAGAGAAAAGGTTTACAAAGAATAAACGAAAGAACCTTTTAAGAGAACTCAAACTAAATGATGTCACACTGATTTATGATGTAAGCAACAGAAAACTACACGCGCATGATAGAAGAGCGCGTCTCTATCTCAATTCCCCCCGTCTTTGCTACATCAGTCAATCCCATTAACAAACAAAATCTTCTATGCTTTGCTGGTGCTAAAGCCTTCGTTAAAATATCCGCAATCATGTCATCTGTCGGCACATTTGAAACCTTTAGTTGCTTACTTGCCGCCAATTGTCTTAACCAGTGATATTTAACATCCACGTGCTTTGTTCTTGACTTAAATTTCTCATTCTTTGTTAATGCTATAGCTCCTTGATTGTTGAGATTTAAAATAGGAATGTCTTGCTGTTTAATTGCTAAGTTATTTAATAAGTGAGTAAACCAAACAATGTCCTGTCCTCCTTCATAAGCTGCTCTATACTCTGCCTCAGTTGTTGACGTCACCACATTCTCTTGTTTCTTGCTTTTCCAATTAACCGTACTATCCCCCGACATCGTTACATAACCTCCAGTTGACCTTCTTGTATACGGACATGCAGCAAAATCAGCATCGGCATAAGCTCTCAAATCTAAATCTTTACCCCCTAACATAATTCCTAAGTTCCTTGTTCCACTTAAATATCTCAATACCCTCTTGAACGCTTACCAATGAATTACGGACGGATTATTTAAATGTTGAGATAATTGAGATACAACAAAAGAAATGTCTGGCCTAGTCGCGTTATTCAAATACATCAACATTCCAACTGCATGTCTATAATTTTCCTTCAAGTCCACAAATTCTTCACACTCTTCCTTTGAACCAGGTACTAAATAAGTATTAGGAATCATTGGACACCCTACTGGTTTACTATCAGACATACCATACTCTTCCAATAAATTATTGATGTACTGTCCTTGTGATAACGTAATTGTTCTGTCCAAGCGATTCCTTGTCACCTTCATTCCCAAGATGTACTTGTAATCCACATCTTCGTCCATTTGAAATCTCTCAGTTATTAATTTGTTAAATCGTTGAAAATCATCACTTGCCACCGTCATGTCATCTACATGAACGTGTACGTAACACTTCCATCCCGGATCGGTAGAAATGAATAAGCTCGCATCTGATGAAGAATTAATGAGTGGAATAGATTTGAAAAAGGCCTTCAAGCAGTTGTACCACACTTTAGGTGCTTGTTTTAAACCGTACAACGCTTGATTTAGCTTTAAAACTGATGTTGGCAACATTCCATGAATTTTTAAACCTTTTGGTATTCTCATATAAATGACTTCTTCCGGTGATCCATTCAGAAACGCCGCTACCGCATCCATTTGATGTACTTCCAAATCTTCAACAGCTGCCATTGCATTTAAAGTTCGTAAAGTTGCTAGTCTACCAGTTGGTGCAAACGTTTCGTTGTAATCTTCTCCATACTCTTGAGAAAATCCTTGTGCACATAAGCGCGCTTTGAATTTGATCAATTCACCATCTCCTCCCATCTTCTTTTCAAACACCCAAGTTGTACCAATTGCATTCTTTCCTTCTGGCAACTCGCACACATCCCAGACTTTTCGTTGATCCATATTGGCCAGTTCATTGTTGATAGCTTTTCTCCAATCAAATTTGTTGTCTGATTTCAAAGCTTGAAGATATGTCTTTGGATCAATGTCGACTTTAGCCACCCTCGCCGTTGTTCGTGGGGCAAGATCATGATTCAATAAGTACCACTCAGCTTGTTTAAATTTTCTTTGTGACTGTCTCTTGAGTCTTCTAGCTTCATGTGAGCGATGTCGTTTTGAATCAGGTGGTAAGATGTTAGCCAAGTCAATGCCGCTGGAAATGTCATTCGGCGCTATCATAGACGTCGGTTGCCAGTCCCAGGAGTGTTTCGCTGGTACAATTGAAAGTGGAATGGGAGGATTTGGAATTTCTGGCACAACTTCAATCTGCATAGGAACGGGCGGACAAAACACTACCAGTTGATCTTCAGTTGTTGTTTCAACGACAGGTTCAGGTACCTCCTCAAGCCTTTCAATCTGTTGATTAGAAGGTGAGTCTGGCGATGCAATACTAGTATCGACACGCTGGAGGTCCCTATTGTCAACTGTCGCAGTTGAAGTCGAGTCTATGATCAGCTCTTCAGGTGTAGTTGAAGTTGATGGTGATGCTCCCATAGAAGTTTCTGAAATTGCCTTCTCAGGAATGATGCCAACTTCTACAGTTTCAGTGAAAATTTTGTTATTGCCAACACCATGAACTCCTGGAAAAGATTTTTCATCAAACGTTACATCATGAGAAGATACAGTCTTTCCTGAATCCAGTCGAATTCTGTAATTTTTCATTCCGAGTTGATAACCAAAAAGAATTCCTCTTTCACAAGTGTTATCAAACTTCTTCCGAAATGATTTGGGAATTAACACATACGCACGACATCCAAATGGTTTTAATCTGGAATTATCGAATTCTCTTCCAAACCATAATTCATAAGGTGTCTTCATGTCGATCTTTTCCATTGGTGTGATGTTCTCGAGAAATACAGCTGTGCTGACCGCCTCTCCCCAAAAAGAATGAGGTAAATGTGAATGTTCTAGGAGTGCTTGTGCTTTCTCAGTTGTCGTCCTATTTCCTTGTTCAGCAACTGAGTTTTGTTGAGGTGTGTATGGCACACTTAAGTAAGATACCGTTCCATCTTTTTCCAATAATTTTCAAAATTGATTCGACATATACTCTCCTCCTTGATCATTCACAAGACTCACTATCTTCCCATTATGAAGATTCTCAACCTCAGCTTTGAATTTAATAAAACATGCAAAAGTTTCCGCTTTTGATTTCATAATGTAGTCATATTTGTAATTTGTGTAAGAATCCGTAAGCTTGAAATAATAAAGGCCACCACCTTCAGATACAACTGAGATTCTTCTACTTAAATCACTATGAACAAATTGAAGAGGAAAGGTGGATTTAGGAAGAGAACCAGAATAAGGCAAACGATGTCCTTTTGATAACATACACTCCTCACAACACCAATCAGCAGGTGGCTGAATGCCATACATGACGGCTAATCTTCGTGGATTAACGTGTCCTGATCCCCTGTGTAATGTCGAATAGTCAGATAAAGTTGTTTTATTGCATGTAGATGAAACAGACGTGCCTAATGTAATGTCTAACTCAATCACTCTATTTCTGCTCTGTGTTGAGGAGGCACGAGGAATCACATCCGTCCATGAGCCAGGAGCTTAGGAGAATGACCAACCTAGGCCAACAGACACGTTATCAGCCCTTAGCCACAACACGCTAAGCTGCCTAGTGGCTCAGACGTCGGAACGGCTGACAGGTACCGACGGGTGTGTTGTGCACCGCCCAGGATGAGATAATCCTGTAGAAGACAACGGATGAGACAGATGATCATATAATGACCTCTGTCGGTTTGTTCCCTCTCTAGAGGAACAATCTTCCCATCCTGTTTCTCCTACAAAGATTCCACTATCCTTGCTGTGTTCCCGCGCCTCGTTGATTCTCCTCAGCTCCCTCTCGCTAGAACTCTTTCAAAGCCAGTGGTATCCTTTCATCGCTACACTTGAAAGGTATACAAGTTCTAACCATGTCAGCTACAGAAGATACAACAAGAGTCAGTGCTACTTTGAATATTGTGAACGATAATACTACCAAAGAAACAGCAGAAAAAGAAATTCACGCCCCACAGACAAGACAAAAAACAGGTAAAAACAAATCTGTAACTTTACCTACCTTTAAGAAGAACAATAAGAAATCAGTTGAAGCTCCATCAAAAGGTTTAGTTTTAGTAGAGGATGGAGAAGGATTCAAAACAACAGAAGGAATAGAAGAAACGAGGAAGAACGATGATATCAACTTAGGCTCTGAAAGTCATAATTTAGATAAATCAGACACCAGTAGTTTGTCAGATTTCACAAGTCAAGGGTTGTTAATGAAAAGTAATGGTTAGTCATAAAGAGAAATGAAATCTCTCCTTTTTTGATATTATCTTTTTCATTTTATTATCATCCACAAATAGTTTCCCATCATCGTTATCCTAAGGGGACTATCATATCACTCTAAAATCGTAATTTATAAGATTCTGTTTCATCCTTTGAATGGGTATGCTTATCAAATAATATCAATAGATCGATTAGAGTTATTAGAGGATGTGGTCCATCGAAAATTGAAAAAAAATTTAGATGAGGTTCCGTCTGACTATAGACAAGGTTCAAGCAACTAAGAGTTACCGTAACTAAAAACGAGGCAGTCTGAACAGAAAAATCCATCTGTGCTATAAGAAGATACAAAATTTGAATTCTATAAGAAGATACAAAATTTGAATTAAAATAACTTTTGGTTTATTAATTTTTTTTTGTTTTCATAACATCTTTGTTTCAATTGAACTTCACCAAATCGAGTTTAATTTAATCTTCACAAATAAAATTATTTCCATAATTTCTTATAATTTCAATGAACAGTTTCACTGATTTGCTTTGGGTTTGATCATTTCTCATTAAACAATTTAGTTTCGAGTAAGCCAATCTGGTATGAGAAAATGAAGGCAGCAGTTTTAGAAGGAAACTCAGATTTAGCAAGAGAAATCTTTAAGAAGGTTGAAATCAGTGAAGATCAAACGATCCCACAAATCGTTGTAAACAGTTATAAGAAGGCAGTATTTATAGAAGGATCAAATAACGACTCAGAATTGATGCCATTAACTGAATATTGGGTGAAACATATTTATGGATTAGATGCACACATTCCTTTAACTATTTTTACTGAGAACTGGATTAACAGAGACCATGCAGCTTGTGGTAGAAATTCGTCATCTAAGAAAGGATCAGGATCGAATGGTTTAACTCCAAAGGATGAGTGGTGGCTAGGCTCTTACGAATGGATTAAATGTGGTGATTTGTTCATTCAATACGTAACAGAGTTATATGATCAAGCAGGTTTCGCTAAAGCGTAAGCAACAAAATCAATAATTTCTGAGGTTTTAGTTTATCTAACAGATACTTTCATAGGTTGCGTAAGCACTTCGACTATGTAAAGGAAATCAATACTCAATTCTGCTGGGTTACTGCAATGAGATACGATATGGCCGTAAGAAAAGTATGTTTAGGTCAACATATAAATGGAAGTCCAGGTGACCCTTCAGCACCTAGACCAAAGTTGTTAGAAATAGCGAAGAATAAGACCGAATCTATGAAAGACGGCTTTGTCGATCAACACGGCAATCGTAAGCTTTCACAGTGGTTTCTTTTATCTTTAACAATTTTGAAACCATTAGTTGACTCGTATAAAAATCTTATTTGATTGTTTACTTAGCATATGCGAAAGGCGGGAAACTAGAACGTTACAGTCCTTGGACTGGTCTAGAATATTCAAAAAATAAAGACCACGACAGCGGGGAGTTTGATGTTAAAGAAGAAGAGGATGAAGAACATATAAAAAAGAGTCACAAGAGAGCAAATTTCTTTGAAGACAAACGAAGTGGAAGAGGTTCCTTTAGGGGAAATAGGGGTAGTTCCTTTAAAAATAAACGATCTAGATCTCCATATCAAAAGAACGAAGAAAAAAGCAAACCTCAAGCTTCCACTTCTTCATGGGTCGATAAAGGAAAGAAAGCAGCTACTAAAGAAAAAGAGTAAGCGATTTCTTTATCTATAATTTGTATTTCATTTTGTTAGTGAGGAGTCACAGAGGATAGACAAGTTGTATAATCATTATCGATTAAAACATTTTTTGGTTTTTCTTTTTTGTATTATCTATCATTTAGTAATAGAAGTCTTAGTAACAACAATTTGTTGAAAAAACTTGATTCAGAAAGTGATGATTGTGAGATGTGAGCAAAGTTTTTTATCAATTGTACAAATAGTGATACAATAAATTTCATACACTAATGGAATGAAATTATCAGGCCACTCGATAAAGTTAAAATAAGTTTGAACAGCCATAATGAAGGCATAGGTGAAAAACAAGTGTCGTATAAGAGTAGCTCCAGGCCGAACTATCAGAAGAAGAGTTCATACGTTTCAGGTACAAATCAAGTTCTAGAGAATCCAAATCCAGGTGAAGAGAAGATAAAGCAATTCGATTATAATGAATGGCAACAAAATCCATGGCCAGCGAAAGTCTCTTGTAACATGAATTTAGCAGAGTGGAAGGCAGAGCTAGAAGACTACGGTTTATTGTTGAAGTACAGATACTTACTTAATGGTTTTAAGAACGGTTTTCATCAAGGAATACCGCCTCATGTAATAAAAAATGAAAAGTGGTATACGCCGGATAATCATAAATCAGCTTTAGATGCACGTGAAAAGATTGAAGAAAACATTAGGAAAGAAGTTGCAAAAGGTCGAATGTTCGGACCATTTACACATGAAGAAGTGTATGATAAACTAGGCTTTTTTTAGAACAAGCCCTTTAGGAGCAGTAATCAATGGGGATGGGTCTTTTAGACCGATAAATGACATGTCGTATCCAAAGTTTGAAGAAGGCGTACCATCAGTTAATTCCTTCGTTGATAAAACAGATTTCGAAACGACTTGGGATGACTTCAAGTGCGTAGCGAAATTCTTCAGAGATGCAAAAAGGAAGATGAGATGCGGTATTTTTGATTGGGAAAGTGCTTATAGACAGATCCCAACACATCCAAGTCAATGGCCATTCTTAGCAATAATGGATTTCTACGGTCGAATTTTTATTGATTTATTCATTTCCTTCGGAGGAGTAGCAGGCTGTGGTTCCTTTGGAGGACCAGCTGACGGTTGGAAAGAGATAATGGAAAAGAAATTCGAACTAGTGAAAATATTTAGATGGGTTGATGACAACCTAGCGATAAAATATGACGAACAGATGATATCGATGGAAGATATTGTGAAGGAAAGCAAGCAGTTGGGGGTCAAGACGAATAGCACAAAGTATTCAGAATTCGCGATAGAACAAAAGTTCATTGGCTTCATATGGAACATGGAAGACAAAACAGTGCGACTTCCATTAGCCAAGCTTGAAAGAAGACGAGAAGAGTTAAATCAAGTTTGGGAGAAATCATCTTGGTCAAGGAAGGAATGGGAAAAACTAACCGGGAAAATTGGCCACCTGACCCTGATCCTGCCTCAGATGAGATGCTTTATGCCAGAAAGTTATCGATTTCTGGCGTCGTGGAAAACTTTCAGGAATCGAAAGTTAACAGAAGATATTTTGCGCGACATGGAGATGTGGAAATTATGCTTACAAGATTTGAATCCAACGAGGTTAATTCCTGACTACACAGTCAAAAATATCGGCTGGGTCGGTGATGCTTCGACGGATTTCGGTATTGGCATCATCATCGGTCGTCATTGGGCCCAGTTCAAATGGAAAGAAGGCTGGCGTCAATCGACCGGTCGCATCGACAGTTCCATCGCCTGGGCCGAGACAGTAGCGGTCCGGCTAGGCCTATTGATGGCAGAGAAGGTTATGCCGACGGCAGGTTGGACGTTTTCCTGCTTGACCGAAAACACCACCACTGAAGGCGTGGCGCGTAACGACAAGTCTCGGGACTACTGGGTCAACGAGGAGTGGAAATTTATCCAAAAACTCTTGCTCAGGCTAGACTGCGACGTCAGCCTGGTCAGGGTTATCTCGGCCGATAACGACGCTGATAAATTGTCCAGGGGCCTGGACACGAAAAAACCTCGAAATAAAAGGATCGAAATCACCATTCCAGGAGATTTGGTCCCCCTCCTTTTCCAAACTCCTTTGCTCACGCTCTCCAAATCACCCGCAATCTGATCGCAAAGTCGTGTAGGTCACCCAGTTTTATTTTTTCAGAAGAAACCTTAGAAGTTGACACTAACACTACCTTTTTGGAAAATCTTCATAAAAAAGGTTAGAATACTACCTTTTGGAAATCTTCATAAAATTTTAGGGTCGTATGATGACGCTCGAAACAGCAAAGGCAACCTTATGTCAGTCCTCACCAGTCACAACTCGAGTTCTTGACGAGCCGAGTGATTTCATCTTGAACCATTCTTGGAGACCGGCGACCATCAAACAATATGCAGCCGCAGTCAACAAATTTTCCATTTTACCGCGGTCGAAGGCATCATCTATTTTTTCCCGACTACCGCCGACATCGTTTACAAATTTATTTTCTGGAGCAACGGACTCGAAGGCAAGCATACAGTCCTAAGCAAAACGACAAAAAGATACCTGACTGGCCTCCGGATGTGGCATGTCCTCCACAACGTGAAATGGCCCCAGGTCGACTTAGATCGCATCAGGCTCCTCTTAGTAGCCGCTGAAAAGAAAAACGAGGGCCGCCCTGCCAAACCGAAACACTCAGGTCTTTCTTTGAAGAACCTTCACACCATATCAAGCTCGCTCGATCTAACGATACAAACCAACTTGGTCATCAACGCAGTTGTGCTGGTTGGTTTCTGGGGTCTAGCTAGGCTAGGTGAGCTAGTATTCAATAAGGATCACCCAAACATTTTCATTCGCCGTCGCGACCTGGTGATTCGCGCGGACAAACAATACGCTACAATCGATATGCGAATGTGTAAAACAGCAGCAGTAGACGAAATCCAGACTTTAGTTCTACACGCACAGCCAAACATCCTCGACCCCATCAAGGCTCTTATTTCGCTGCTCGACACGTTTCCGAGCGGCCCGGATGACCCACTTTTTCCAAGTTCAAATTTCCATGTACCGATTAGTCGCTCAGCGGTTTCTAGGATTTTGTCTGGCGAGGGAATCAAAGTAGGGGCAGTGTGGAGCGGTCATAGTTTACGTATAGGGGGTACCTCATTACGGGCTCATTGGGGAGACAGCGTAAAAAGGCTCAAGCAAACAGGGCGCTGGAAGTCATCAGTTTACAAGTTGTACGTGAGGCCTTACTCAAAAGCTTTGGCAAGTGAGACTCGAGTCTTAGCGAAGAGGTTGCGAGAGCGGTCTTGAAAGCCGTTGCTACTGTTTAAGCTTCTACAGCGTTGTTTGGCCACTATCTTTGTCAGATCTTGTCGACTATGTCCGGTCTTTTCTTTTTATGTCTTCGTCTCCTTTTTTCGGTCGGAATGCAATTTCTGTTGTATGCTTACCCGACAATAATCTTTTTGACCTGAGCTACTGACCTTTGAAGTCCTTGCTCAGATGTCAGTGGAACGTGCCCGAGAGTGGGGAGAGAGCTCCTGTTCAGGATCTCAGCTCGAGAACTTGTCCCCTGAAGATGGGTTTGATAGAGCTCTCTCTCCCTCACTCTCTGTCCCGCCACCGCCAGTCAGACGTCTGACTGGCCCAGCTCTTCGCAGGAAGTCCTCTAGCACATTGACGTCGTCAAGCTAGCAGAGACCTCCTCAAAGATTGCTCGAGGCGCTAGGGTACACACCCGCAGCCAGCAGGCCTCACCTTAAGGAACCCCTTAAGGCAAGTCCTGCACCGGCACTATCATCCTAGTATGATAGAGAGGATTTTATATGCCTTTATAACATACTTCGTGAATTATCACATTCACTGAAGAGTCCTTTCTCACGTAGAAAGCCCCGTGGACGAATGGATAATTTGGCCTTTGAATTCTGCATGTCCTTCTTTGATCATCATAATGATTCCTTTTTCATGATGAAACAAATAACCATCATCAAGTAAACAACCCATACTGATTGATGGACTTCCTAAATCTGGCACATGAAAAGCTGGAATAGTGACGACTCCTCCAAAAGAATTGCAATTGATGAAACCTTTACCCGCTATGTGAATTAGGCCTCCATTGGCTAAAGATACCTCAGAAGTGATTTCAACATAATTTGAGAAAAGATTCTTGTCGGAGACCATGTGATCCGAGCATGCACTATCTAACAAAACATTACTCCCATTCGTCCTGTATTGACATGACAGAGCAGAAGTTTCAATGAGATCATCCATATATGCAGCTTGCAAGACAGCAGTAGTAGCACGACTTCGTGGCGGTGGAACATTTGCAGGGCGTAATTCAGGTAAAGCTACCCAACAGGCATTGGGTCTATGACCTTTCACAGCCGGATTATGACAGCCATTAGTGCAAGTTGGATAGGGAAAACGTTGACCTGGTGGTCGATTAGGTCGATTAGTCATAGTCGCCAAGGCCATAGAAGATGATTCATTGAGATGAAGCTCGTTATACTCGATAAGATGAGCATCTAGCGTATCCAACACGGTTTTGGTCTTCAAGGGTTGCTTAGCAGCTAAGATTGACAATGTTGTTTCCATTGTATTTGGTAATTTGGCGACAATCATCTCAGATATGATTTCGTGCAAGTCGTCAGTGAAATTGATACCACATGCATGCATGTTGGCTAGTGAAGCTCGAGTGTCTTTGATGTATTGACTTAAGCTTTGATAAACGTTTCGGATCAGTGATGCATAAGCTCTTCCTTTGCTTCCAGAGGTGGTCGATTGAAACTTCTCTTTCATAAGAGTCCAAATTGCTAGAGGTTTATTGATAAGTCCTTCAGACTCAACAATGATGCGATAAGCTTGAGTCATGTGACTATACATGATCCCAGCTGCTTTCCGTTGACATATAACGTATGCTTCATAGAGAACTTTTCGTTCCAATTGTACCAGCAGTTCGGTTGGAGCAGCAACAGGAACAGCATCAGGATTGATGAATTCGTCGAGTGTAGCCGACATCAAGGCTCCTGTTATGTTGCCTTTCCATTTGGCGTAGTTATTGTCATCGAGTTTGACAATTCGTAGTCTGGTTTCACTTGAACTCATGATGATAACAGAGATTACAAGGATGAGAGCTAGAATGTGTGATGTGATGTGAGTGTGATTGTGATGAGATGTCATGGATCGATTGTGCGTGAATGTGTGAGTGCGATAGCAAAAAAAAATTAAGCTTCGATAGTGGTGTGGCGTGATGACGCGATGTGATGATTTTAGTTGATACAGCTAGTGAGCTGGGCTCATAACCAATTGAGTGAAAGACCTGTGACGTTCAGGTCATTAGCTTTGATAAAAGCTAATCACACTTGATCAAAGAGAAAAACAATACCTGTGACGTTCAGGTCATTAGCTTTGATAAAAGCTAATCACACTTGATTGAAGAGAAAAACAATCTGATGAAAAGAAGATTGTTTTAAACAAAAGTTTTGAGTTCGATCTCCTATTTGACTAACAAACTAAAAGACAACTAAAGCAACTTACACCTGTGATGTTCAGGTCATTAGCTTTGATAAAAGCTAATCACACTTGGTCAAAGAGAAAAACAATCTGATGAAAAGAAGACTGTTTTAAACAAAAGTTTTGAGTTTGATGAAGAGAAAAGGTTTACAAAGAATAAACGAAAGAACCTTTTAAGAGAACTCGAACTAAATGACGTCACACTGATTTATGATGTAAGCAACAGAAAACTACACGCGCATGATAGAAGAGCGCGTCTCTATCTCAATTACCAACGTCTACTCAACCTCACTCTGTTATGTCAAATGATTGTCCTAGCCTTGAACTTATCTTTTACTGACTAAGCAGGTCGCATTTGCATGTTTTGACAAGGGGCCCCATCACGACTTGCTTGTGCGCTTCACACTATTTTCAAGGAATGACTCTTGAACAAACCCAACCTGAATGGGGTCGGATTTATGGATTCAAACTTTTGATACACGTCAACAGGATGCATTCAACTTTTTCAATAGATTCTACATTCCAATCCATCAACAGGTCTGTTCTACAGCCCAAGGATAAATCCTTTAGTCAGGTACCAAATATGTTCAAATTGAAAAAGTTGCCGGGACACCTTTGGATGAAATGAACAATGTATATCCTACAAAAATACTTGTTACCAATTCAAAATCAGTGATGCGTGTGTATGTGTAATCTAGATGTTAGTGATCCGCTGCCAAAGTAACACCAAAGCTGCTCTCAACACTTATTAGAGAAATCCAAAAAACCCGCATTTGAAAAGTATGTTTGTTCAATCTAGTGCTAACTGAGAGTCTCTTGACTACATCATCATGTAGGCCAACATCACCTATGTTATGGCATTGAAAGTACGGGGATGGACAATGAGCCTGATGGACGTCTGTTGTCGTCTCTCAGTGTCGGGTGAGCTCAGGTGAGCTCCCTTGAAAGTTGAAGCCTCGCGACTCCGAGGGAGTTTTAAGATTTGTCGAGATTGGTATTCCCACAAGTGCTCCCCCGGTGTAAGCATAAACTGCCCATAAGTCCCCGGGCACTGAAGGGGACTTAGTTAAGTTAGGTGTGATCGATACTTGCTGGGCACCCTAACGAAATCGAAAGACAAAATCTCAACAGACCTGCATATATTCACACAACAAGATTATCTCCAGTTAACTCTCAACTTGTCTTCTTGATTCGAAAGTCATCAAATTGTTATCGATCTGCGTTTAATTCATTCTTCGAAATTGCCAGAGTACATCGTCATAGCTTCCATGATCGATCACGACAATCAATACCCTCAAACAGGTGATCTGCGTCTCGGTGTCTTCTTGGGGGTCATAAATATGCCACTCTATTTCCCTTGACCCGCAATAGCCCGCCGACCGAACTCAAAGAACCTTGCTTGAACTTTTTCATCATCTCACGCATGAACTTATAAGGGCTAATTTTGTGATTTAGCTCAGGATGCGTGTTTATCCGATATTGTCGTTCGCCGCCCGCCGACTGAAGGTTGGAAGTGCGCATGGCGACGCCTTGCAGCTCGAGACAAGATTGCCATTAAGATTCCCGTTCATCATTGCTGCGTCTCATCTTTCAAAGGCGGAGAAAGATGTGCATACTTCACAGAAGTTTTCAAAGTTCTTCCGCCAAACGCGAGCAATCTTCAGAATTTCTTGCAGCTTTTGGGATCAACTTTGTCGAAACTGGAACGTGTGTCCTGGCAACATGATATAGCTCTCTGAATCCTAGTTCTGGCTTCACATACTGCACCCATTTTGCCATCTTGCATGGAGCAATCGAACGGGGTGCCGATCACCGGGATCTTAATGACTCACACTGTCCAGAACTTTCGTCTTCTCTTAATTTCACTAATTTCAGAATGACTTTATGCAATCGAGCTACCAAACCCGGCGAGTGACTGGGCGATGAAGAATATCGCAAGATTTCGGGAGTGTAATTTTTGATATATCTGAGAAGGTACATATATTGTCGGGTCAGAAGTGCAATGATTCTCGGCGATAACCCTTCGACGTGTTTCTGAATAAGATTGGAAGTCTAGCTTTTACAACCCAGCCCCATCATTCCAAACAAACACAACCCGTGTGACGTCTTAGTCAACCAGATTTGGTTCCGATTTTTTCAGATGAACAATGTTCCCTTTGTACAAAGAAAGCTCTCGGGATCGACCTTATGAAGCCTCTAGCCCCGCCGGCTTTCCATCTATATGGCAACCACCGTTCTCCCAGTCACATGATGTTGTAGCCACCCCCTCTCTCACTTGAAACCGTGAGCTTAATGCAGCTCGATGGCTTGACTACATACATAGTAAGGGTGCATATATTTCGACTCCGTGACGAACCATGAATGCCAAGAGCCTAAATTTTGACGATTGCCGTAAGTTGACTGGATCATCAAGTTCGGCCTTCTCGCCGAACTCTACAACAGCACACGGAGACCTCTTACAACAGTGTCAAGGTGACAGGCTTCCTTTTGCCCTTTCCGATATCTTTCGTTTGTCAAGTTCATTGCGAGCCTTTCCTGAACGTGGAAGAAAGGCGGCTCTCGAATCTATCAGATCGGCCGCTTCCCTCATTCGAGAAGGGGCGGAAAGGGACTTTCTTCAAAATAGGCCCGCAAGAGAGTTCAAATCAAAGTCCATCGAACCAACCTATCACTGAACATGGATCTTGCATTATTCAGGGCCGGCGAGAGGGTTTTCATGAGTGGCAGTAGACAGGAACTTGTTTAACTGCACAACAACGAAAATTACAATTGTATTTTTTCGTCCGATGAAGCCCCAATCACTTTCCAGTGAAAGAAAGCAATTCTTGAAAAAAAAGCTGGGAGTACCGATTGAATAAACATGAGATAGTGGTACATCAAAGGAGTAGGTAGGCAACATATCGTTCGCCCATCTTTGTGGGAGACTTGGGCGCATTCTCATCATGGTTTAATTCCTCCAGTACTCGGATTCAACCATATCGCATACAGTCTGATTGCGTTCATGACCCAATATAAATATTTGGAAATGGGTTGGATCAATCTTTACGCTCGCTTGCCCATAAGTCTCGAGCCTCAGACGAGCGCATATAACCAGTTGTGTAAATATCTCTTTCATATTTTCATCTTCTTGTACCTGTTCCTCCAAGGATCTTTGAGTCATCATAAGAGCCGAAGAATCATTTTATTATATTTTCTATAAATCCTACACAAGTCTAATCTGCTGTGAATATATTAACGCGTATCAAAACTTATCTCGTTTGAATATCTTTTGTTATAAAACACCTTCGCGCCTCCAACGACGCGCGGAATCTTGATCTGGCACAAACCCATTTTCTGTCGCGCTTTTCATCACATCGTGTAAATGTCAGAGCACAGCTATCTTTCTGGGAAGACCTCAACGAGGAATTCCAATCGACAACGGCGGTTCAATCCAATGGTCTGTGGTCAAGCTCAGGTATTTTTTGCGCGCTTCAATGGTTTCATACCATAAGCGTTTTTGTAGTACCAAAGCTCAATTTCGGTATCATTTTGACAGGGTACCTTTGCGAATAAGACTTCGAATGGTATCAATGGGTTTACAGGTCTGAGCAATCTGCTACCCCGCTTACATTATGCACCAGGACCGCGCATCACCGGCGCCTCTGGTAACGTGTCACAGTTTCCATCAAGCTGTATCCAGTATCCTTGTCTGGATAGTGGTAATGGTTTTCATAATTTATTCGGGTGTGTCATCTGCAGTTCCCAATCTTTCAAGCTACATCTTGACATCAACACAATAAATTTAATGCGCACCATCTGACATTCCTCACTTTTTGCCTGACCCAGGACCTCTGATAATTCGAGCCCTGTAGAGATCAAATGCACAACGGATGTCTTCAACTACGAAAACGACTGGAGAAGACAAGAACCTATTTCGGCTCTATGCAATCCTTTAGCAGATTCGAACAGCCTGGTTCCATCTCACTCCGATGCGACTGTGGTACAGCATTTTTGGCAGCACCTGGATCCAGATGTGTCGCAAGTCAGCGTATACACGAAATCAACCCGCCAACGTAAACGCACAGTTCACTTGCGCCCCAAGAGTCCAAAGTACCAAGGTTTGTCTAAATTTGCCGCCCCCACAAATCTGGTTTCAGGTATTCTACCTACGGTGTCAGCTACTAAGGTTCTCAATCCACCAAAAGTCGCCCGAAGTTCCGAAACCCAAGTCAAGCCCCATCTCTCACTTAGTATCCCCAAAAAGCTGTCCAATCCGTCCAAGGTCAAGAATAATCCTCGCAGTAATTCAACAGCGTCTCGGGCTGAAAAGTCTCAGTTTTCTGCATCAGAGACTCCAATAGACTTTCTTAGTACCCTTGGAGAAGAGGAATGGAACAAGAGGATAGATGCCCTTGGAAAGATGGTGCAAAAGCGTAAGAATCAGTTTTTGAAAAATGGGTTTGGTGATGCATCGGGTAAGCCTTTTTCGCCCGATGAGCCCTCACTAGAGAAGAAACCGGTTCCGAACCGATGGGTTTGGTACATGCGATTGAGCATGGAGTACGACAAGGAGATCGGAACAGTCCTTCCCTCAGGGGGCCCAGGTAAGCTAAACGGCTTTTTTCATTCATCCTATACAAGTATTCTCAATTCTTACCTCACATTGTTTTCACGCCTTGGCAGCTGGATATCTCAAGTATGGATGGGATCGGATAGGAAAAGCTGGGAAAGAGCCATATCAAGAGCTTGCTGATGTATACTCCGCCGAGAGAGTTAAGCACTGTAAGGACCCTCTTTCCCGACTCGTTTGCGAATGCGTTCTGAAACTCACCCAAATTATTATCTTTTTACGCGAATTTCGAAACTCATAGTATCGGAACATGGAATTGCAATCTCCGATGGAAAAGATGTTGAACATCGAAAAAAGAAAGACTTTCCTACTCCCTCTTCTGCCCTCTCGCGAAGCTCCACCATCGAGTCATTCCCCAATCGCCCAGAATATGACGACCAGGGTCAAATGAAATTGTCATATCCTATCTCATCTGACGGTGATATCCAGAAAGGAGAATTTTACGATAGAGTTCTGAGCCTTGAATCGAATCGAATCCAGCCAGAGTCCCTTGTCCAGGCAGGCATACTTCATCGTGAATTACACTCGGACTTCAACCCACGTATGAACAACTATATGGAATGCATCGATCCTATCATATATCAGGAATCGATCCTACCAGCAGTCAATATGCCACCCATCAGTTCGACCTCTGAACCTTTTTTCAGCGAGTATTTGTCCGACAGAAGTAATTTTATGTCAACTTACCTGCAATCACAAGACTTCCTCAGCGCTTTTGAACCACCTTTGACCTCCGATCAAGCGTCGACTGGGAGCGATTGGGCCCCCTCTCCCTTAAACAATCAATCACCTTGGCCTTATCTCAATATGGTCCAGTCTCCACCTCTCGGATCGAATGGTATCGAAAGTCCGGAGCTTTCCGCGGCCTCCTTACCAACGCCTGCCAGCCTCACGAGTGAATATAACGAACATTTCGCTGCATCTCAAATGATGAATGAGTTTATGAACGCAGATGATCTGATCTCGCAGAGGCTTCAATCAGATTCATCCACTGAGGAATTCTCGTGGGATTGGACAACATTTGGATTTGACCAAACAGACTTTATCTGCAACGAAAATAGTCCTTTTCCGTTCAATTAAACTATGTACGCCTTTTAGAACCAAGCTCGTGTTGTGTGTTTACTATCAATGGCCTCGATTCTTGTTGACGTATCCGAAAATATCAACTACGTGTAACATCTTAGGTTCCTCGCTGAAGTATATCACCTGTGGTAATAGTGTTTATATTCCAAACTCTCTCTTGTTTATATTTCCACTTATTTGTCTTTAAAGAGCATCAGTCTCTCTACGTCTCGATTTTGTTTCTTTTTTCGTCGTGAAGACGATCATGTAAAAAGATGTGCATAGATGTACCTGCTCATAGCAATATCGCACTGAAGATGTGTTTGACTTCTTTGGATCCGTTGTTCAGCTCTGAAGACAAACCTCAATGAGTCTCACAGATGTAAATAATGTAATTGTTTGTAACTCTCACTAGTCTATCGTGTCGTTCTGTCTGCTTGTTTGTTTTGAAAATTGTTCTTTAGCTTGATGTGTACATAACCCAACAGTCTATCTGTATCGGATTTCCTCCCTCTTTGATGCAATATCGTTTCTCCAATTGCCTTGCATCCTGTTTTTAACAAATTGATCTTCGTTTTGAACAGGACAACCCTTTCTAGGTACATCCATATTCATCCGTCTTTAGGACAAATTGTCTGATTGATTTCTCAGCGAGGCAGGTTGCTTTGGACTTCACACCTACATACATATCTCATTGTTGTATACCCACTTGCCATGTTGGCCCACCAATAGGGTTGGATCACTGCGCGTAGGAATGAAGCCTTGCTGTAACATGCAGTGGCATCGCCTGCTTGATTGTCAACAGCCTCAGTGTAGTCCTGACATCAATCCACAAAGGAGTAGATTTCGACAAACCAACCAAGATGTTATACATTTGTGTTGGTGCCCCATCGTTCCCAAACAGAACTTAAAAAGCCTACACTTCAAGTAAAACCAACACAAGTTTGATCTAGTGCTACACACTCATGGTAGTCAAGACTTTATACAACCATTGGGTTTAACATTTTTTTTTGCTAGCACTCAACAATCCTTGAACATATGCTGCGAAGAATAGATTAGAAAAACAAGGTCCGTGTGATACATTTAAACAAGGAGTTGTAATCTTTCAACTTATAAACTGATTGAGGGGATTTACAAAAATACAATCGCTTCAAGAGAATTGCAATTTGATGGGTTTTGAGGTTTGACATAAAAACCGATTTGATTATTCAGCTTTACCACTTTTTTCCAACTGTGAGTCATCAAGTAATTTAGACAAAAGATAAACTACCCCTGAACCACATGCACAGGTAGCATAACACAAAGTTGGACCTTGTGCCCAATAAAGACCAGTAGCGAAGAGTGGACCAATAGCCCGACCAAGCTGACCAGCCGATCGGAAATCCCCTAAAGCCTTTCCCCTTGCAATCTTTGAGTCAACTTGTTTCGAAACATCTTGTTCATCATCGCATTCGAGACTAGCCAATGTATTCAACGAGTTCACAACTGATGCACTGACATAAGCGAGTGCTACAGCAGCTGAATAGAGGACTATCATACTCGAGAAATTCATTTCACCATCAGCCATATTTTTCGGGCCTGGATGAAGAAAAGGTAAAGTGGCAAGAAGGGTAAGAGAAGTGATACAAGCAATGACCCCGTTACGAACGAAGCTCAATGGAGCCTTTTTGGAGCGACGAATGTGACCCCCTTGAAGCAAGGAGGAGAGGATGCCGATCAAGCCAAGTAAGCGACCATTCTGAGCGTTCGTGAAAGAGTAGAGGTCGTAAGTTACTGAAAAGGTTATTAGGAGAGTGTAAGTCTTAATGATATAAACTAATCAACTTAAAAATTGATCACATACAAAATGTCAAGGTAAACTCAGCACCTAAACTCAAAACCAAATCGTCAGATAGATAAATCTTATCCCGCTTCAACAGTATAACAAAGAAAGAAAACACTCACCAGAGAAAAAGAACAAAAACATTGAATGTATGCGTGCAAGAATTTTCAATCTTTGATATCTCTGTTCTATTGTTCTTTGACGAGTCGGTTTGGATATAGTATCTGATTTTTGACTAGATGAAGTTTTCTGTGCTCGATCTTGTGAACATTGTTTGGTTTCTGGTAAAGCAATGGCTAGGAAAGCTGTTTCGACAAGTAGTAAGATCACGGTGATCGCTGCAGGTGCAGCGTAAACATTCAATTCTGTTCCACCCATCTTGACAGTATTACTCGTTGGAAGTTGCATTGCAAACCAGGCACCTAAACTGGGACCCAAAGTGAAGCAGACCTGAAGTGTAAGAAAGAGACAAAGAGATTAGAGCATGTCTGTAAAAGGGAATTTCAACTAAAGTGAAATCACTCAAACAGAAAAAGCAATCCCAACCAATGCCAAAGATTTAGCACGTGTTGAAGGATCAGAGACATCACTAATAATGGCGATACTAAGTTGTACATTTCCTTCCGAAAGTCCACCAATGGCTCGAGAAAGAAGATAAGGACCAAAACTAGTCGAAAATAACCATAACAAGGCAGATGCTAGATTTCCAATCATGGTGAGTAAGAGAATAGGTCTTCTACCGAATCGATCTGATAACCGTCCAATGTAAGGTGACACAAGAAACTGGCAAAACGAAAAGATCGATCCAAGTAACCCTACCATGGAACATTCGAAGGATGTTTGGATGTCAATTTCTTTATGTATGTTCTATCACTCAAGATCGCATCACGCTCAACTCACCCCCAAGGATGGTGATGTCCCATTTCGAATGTGTCACGGCGCTTTCAGTAGAATATGGCGCTAAATGACTGGCTCGCATCGACACCAGCGCTGCCCGCGATTTTCGAATCACGCCAAGTATACTCGAAAGCATTGTTCCCTGCGATAAGGTGCAAGCGGCATCAGAAATCCAGCAGTTGATCGGTATTGATCACGCTACAGGTAGAGCAAGCCCAAGCCATTTGACGGTAGTACAAGCCTTCATGGAAGAGTGATTGAAGTTCGGCTGATCGACCCACTTTGCTAGATTTCTCGGCCTCCACAAATGATGCGATTAGTCTAGGAAACAGCGGCAGCGGCATGGTGAACGCTATCGAACAGGGTCCGCAAGAGAGAGATGTACTTCATTCAGTTGCGGATTTTGAAACACTTCATTTCAGAACAAGATTCCAGTAGGTAAAGTGTAGAAACCCACCTAGTAAGTCCAACAGCAAGGACAAGAAGATGATACGAACCACTTTACGTTGTAGAGCTGATTGTTCCTTATCCATGGTCAAGCAGTTACGGGCCAGATGAAGGGAATGCGATGAGCTTTACGATGAGTGACTTGAGTGGTGGTGATATGTATCACCTATGACGTTGATCGGTCAGTTCAAGTGGTAGGCGCGACACGCTCGGCACGCCAGACAGCCCGCTATCAGGGCGCGCCTACATCCCACTTGCTTGTCTCCTTGGCCGGTCGCTGCTGTCACAGTCCAGGCCACATAAATTGCAGCTCTTAAAATGCTCATGCAGGAAAGGCTGGTCCCCGTGCAAAAGTTCAATCCTCGACAGCCAAAACCATGAATGGATCTTGAAGTAAATGAAGTACAGCCGTATTTATACTTGATAAACATTTGAAAAAAAAACCTTTTCGAATGATAATCACAGCAATAATCACAGCAAATTGTAAATACAGGTACAGTAAAGATCATCAACATAGAAGCACAAAGTTTTGCTGTGATTTAAGTGCATGTGAAAAACAAGTTGAAGTTGAATGTATTCAATGGAATGTGAAACCAGTTTAGGCTGTGGGGGGCATGTGTTTTTGAGCTGTGATGAAAGAGTGGATTGATTGGGGAGATCATGTGATTTGAGTGTTACATGTGTAGTTTGATATGTAATTTTGATTTTTAATTTGAAGACTTTATTAGTGGCTCTCAAACCTGACCCAGTTTCAAAAAACCCGGTTGCCCCAGTTGAATTTTTGGCTGGGAGCTGTCAACAAATGTCAACTTGATACACAAAGTTACTGCCAAAAAACAACTGGGTCAACTGGGTTTTTTGAAAACCGGGGCAGGTTTGAGAGCCACATGTGAGTGACTGACTGAGTGAGTGAACCTTGCGCGCTCAGCCGTCTCAGCATGAATCCGTCTTCATTACTTTTAGCAAGAACTCGTAAGTGATCCTTTCTATAGCAATCAACTAATCATTCTAATGACTAACTAACTTCTATTTGTTATACCATCAGCGCCAGTAGCTTCCACTTCAACTTATTCAACTCATATTCCATCTGCAAGACCAAATGATCATATCTTTCAACAACAAGATTCATCTTCTTCAACCACTCCATTACATTCTCCAACTACGATCAATCCACCTAATCGAACTCTGAAATTATCATCTAAACTACAAACTTCAAATCCAGATGGATCTTTACCTAATCTACATCCGACTTTTCGTTCAGATACTTCAAGTCCATGTCAAGGTACCGTTCAAATCATAGTAGAATCAACTACATTCTTAGTACACAAGGAAATCATTGTGTTTGCTAGTCCGTTCTTTGAAACGATCATTGGAGGTGAATGGGCAGAAACGTGTGATTTGACTAGTTCTCAGGATCATTCACAAGATCATCCACACGAATCTGATCTTACTATTCAAAACTCATCAATCGATCCATATTCAAGAACTGGGCCCATAGAAACCGGTCAATCGGATGATGAACCATCCAATTCTCAGACTACTAATATCTTACCCACTCCATCTACGGTTCCAGGCTCAACTGGTTCACTTCTTCCTGATCAATCAACTTCACAAGACTTTAATCCTCTTTCTGATAACATCGATGGTTCATCATCCAATGGGGATCCGACAGGCGATCAGCTTAATCGATCACCATCCTCTCTTCCATCTTCGCTTGCCGAAGCCTTTCACACAACCGAAAAACCATCGACTCCTAAAACAAATCGATTGAATGGTCCTTCTCCTGCACTGAAACATATGATTTCGAAATCTAATCTTATCAAACCAGTCAATTCGACTCCCCAAATCTCTAAAACTAGTAAATCTAATCAGATTGAAGCCAGGATTTTTCTTCAAGAAGAAAAGGCAGCTCCGTTCCAAGATTTATTGATGTTTGTTTATCCTCATTTAGAGGTAAGCTGATCTATTTACACAACTACAAAATCATAAAACGAAAGAACTGTATCTGACGTTTGTTTTTGATGTTTGATTGGTCTTCCAGTGTGTTTGTACATGGAATAATGCACCAGAGGTAAATGCATCCAAGTACCACACACCATAACTCATCAATAGAAGTTGAACTAACCATCCGACTTGTTTCTTTCTTTCTGTTTTATAGCTCATGACCATGTCAAGAAAGTTTGATATGCCATACCTACAAAGACATGTTTTAAACTTTTTACTTTCATCAGCTGCAGGTAAACCGATTCAAGCCATGAAGATTGCAGAAGATCATCAATTACCTGATTTGTATAGAGAAAGTTCACGTTTCCTTTTAGATAATTGGCAAGGTTGGGATCCCAAAGAATTAGATATCTTAAGTTCTGAAACTTTATTGAAACTTGAAAAAAGGTTAGATGTCATTCTCTTGATAGGTTTCGTATCAATTCCAATGACGATCTTTTTGTTGAAAGTTTGGTGTTTTCTTTTTTTTGTAGAAGGACTTGGTTCTTAGAACGTTTACTTAAATTGGGTTTAGTGAATTCGTCAAGAGATTATGTTTGTCCACCTACTTGTTCGGATCCACAACATTGTGCAAAATTAGTAGATGATAAATGGAGAAGTGCATGGGCTTCTTCATTTAAATTTGGACCACCTCAGGTTGAGTGTTTTTATTGAAGTTTGATTTCCGATTTGGAGGGGGATAGGTTTGATTGATTTTGGATTTCATGTAGCCTAGTAGTGTTTATCGAGCTTTAAGGTGTTTAGAACCTAGTTTACATAGTCCATCTTTATTGTAAGACACTTTTGCCTGATAATCCTTTTGTACATCTCAAACTGAAACTAAGTTTCTTTCACAGATTACCACATACTTCATGTCAACAACATGCTATCCGATTCTTTGCTGACCTCTTCGACCGAATGTTTTCTCAATTCCCAGCAAGAGTAGGAATTAATAACAATGTGACTGGTACTGGTACAGCTACAGGTACGGGCACGGGTACAGGTGGAGCTGCTCATTCACATTCGAATTCGTCTCATTTCTCTTCTTTAGATCCAATACCTGTTCCTATCACCTTGAATGGAACAAGTGTTTCAAAAGCTTCTAGACATGCTAAATATTTTTTACATGTTGAACTTTTTGAAGCAGGTGGGTTTGGTAAAGATAGAGAAAGAAGAATTTTTTGATTCATTAAGTCTTGTGTGTGTGTGTGTTTTCTTTTTCTTCTTCTTCTTCTTCTGTTTATCATCATCTTTTTTTTTGTTTATCATAATATACATATGTGTGTAGAAGAGAACGTATTCTTTTTTCTTAAATGTAGTCATTGTGATGTGTAGTATTGAGGTTATTATTGGGTTTTGGTTTTGCCTTTGGTTTATGAGTTTATTAGAAAATAAGATGACTGGTCAAATTTTATAATTAGATTTTTTTGGTTCACTTGAATTAAGTTTCAAAGGGTTTTGAGGATAAGATTTACTATCAAGACACCTCTTGGAAAAAGGGTTTCTTCACAGGTTGATTTCTGGTTTTTTTTTTGGGATATCTGAAGCCCTTTAGATTGACGAATTGAGAAAACTGAATCAACTTTTCAAGGTTACCTTTGTAGTCCAACTTGGTTTGCAAAACAATTGAAAGTGTTTTGTGAATTTTTTTGTACAAAATGATTGATCACAAAGAGGAAGGATTCTTTTTTGATTACGGCTATCACAGCACAAGCTCAAGGAGGTGTAGTCTAGCCATGAAGAAAATTGGAAAGATTTGTTTGATAAGAAAGGTTTTGGAAAATGTGAAAATGTGCAAAGTGTGATTATGTCATTTGACCAAAGTGCAAACCACTACTGTTTGAGGCGGTGCTACGAATCTATGGAAAATTTGTCTCTTTATTACTCAACTATGTACAAATGTAACGGAAGCTATCCTGGAAGTGGTTCTCAGGGGTTTTGAAGAGAGCGTTTTGCGGTTGAAGCTAGCTTGATGATGTGACACATTTTCGATGATTGTGAATAAATCTTTGTAATGATTGAATTGATGTGATGTGATGTGATGTGATTTGGGATGTGCTTGTTGAAGGTGGTCTGGTAGAGATTGGTTGAAACTTGGGGAAAATGTTGAGAATCTACTTGACTACATACATGCATAGATACTAGATTGAAATGTTCTTTTGAGTTGATTGAGTAATCTCGCTCGAGCTTGTTTCCCAAACTGTTCTATTCTATTTCTATTTGATTCTTCTTTCAAGGATTTCTTCCATTCTACTCTGATCACTAGTAGGATGTTTAAGTTTTGATTGATTTCTTTGAGTTCTTCTCGAGCTTTTTATGTAACCTCTGTTTTAATCACGGCGCTTGTTTTAGTTAATTTATCTGGTGAGTCAACTTCTTCTTCATCACTTCGGTCGTCTGCTCACCGGTTTTGATGTTGGGTTTCATGCAAACTTTTAGCTCATTTTAAAACCGACTTTTCCTTTTTGTTTGATTTCCGATTTCGATTGATTTTTAGGAAATCATTTCAACTGTTATCCCAAATATTTTGATTGTAACGACAAACAAAGAAGATAACACCGGCTTCATCGGAGATTTCTTTTCAAAGACCGTCATTTCAATTCGAATCAGTCTACAAAGCGTTCAAGGAAACTCAGTTTGGGTATAATACATATATATCACGGAAAGCCATTCATCATGCGTTTTTCAGATCAAGTGTTTGAAGAACTTCAAATGCAACCACAAAGTCCGACTCCATCCACTTCATATCGACCTCAAACCCCATCATTAATTTATGAAAATGGTGGGATCATCACACGAAAACATGCTAAATCTAACTCACAATCACATTTTAATTCAGATCAAAACTTATCTCGTTATGCATTACAAAAACGATTAGATGCTCAACATTCTTTACGTTCTCGTCGTCAAACCGGTACTTCATCTGAAGCTGAATCAGATGGATCTCTACGATTTCATTCGATTTCAACTACACCTTCTTCACCTCCCTTATTACGATCTATACCTTTATCTAAATCAACCGAATCTAACAGTACCCATCCGAAATCATCTTCAGAGATCATTGGTCGATTAAATATACCTGATCATCATCCTAAACCGAGTACGAATTCTAGATCATTCAGTCGTGCTTCGTTTCGTTCGATCAGTTCGATTGGTTCTAAAATCCGGATTAAACTTTTTAACTTTTGTCAAACTTATTCGAATGAGATCGATCCGGATCAGCTTCCGTTTACATGGGCACAGTTGAGAGAAGAGTATGAGTTACATTTGGCTCGTGGATCGATTATTGAAAGATGTTTGGTGGATGTTTGTATTGAACCTGATCGACCTGATTTATATCGAATTTGGATAAACCGGGTGGTAAGTGATCAAAACGAACCATAACCTACATTTTGAAAGTCAAAGTTTTTAATTGGTTTGTGTTTTTGGATTCAGTGGCGTTTGGCCGATAAATTAAGTCCAGCTTTACCAGCTGCACTCTTACACACCTCAGCCGAAGGATTATTACCACTCTTAAACCCATTAAGAGAATCCTTAAATTCGATTTCCGATTTGATTCCATTTAGATCTACATCAAGAGAATTAAATCAACTTGAACATCTGTTGGCTCGTGCTTCTAGATTTGCAGGTTTGATTGAAAGAGTGATTGAGTTAGTTAGTCAAGTTGGTTTGGTGAAATTCGAATTGATTGGGATCGTTTTAGAACCTGATCATTATTGGACAGGTGAAATTAAAGGAAAGACTGGTAGTGGTGCTCATTATAAAGGAACTATACGTCGATTACATTGAGAGATTTATGGGTTTTTTCATTCATTAGGTTGATGGTTTGATGGGTTTTATAGGGGTTTTAAATGTGGTTTAGTTCGGATTTGGTTTTGATACTTGCAAAGTTGGTTTATACATGTGTCTCTTTTTTCATATATCTCTATACCTTGTTATATGTAGCAATTCAAGAATTATATAACATAGTAGTCTCTTGGTATGTGTGTGTTTTTTTTTGGTTTTTTTCTTTTACTTTGATTGTTACCTTTAGTAAACTTTGTAGTGGTTTTGACGTTTTTTTATGTTTTAATTTTATTTTTGTTGGTTTACATGGTTTTTTCCTTTGAGTCATTCACTACATCAATAGTTTAAAGAAGCATGGAGATATATATCTTGTTAGTTTTTTCTTTTCATTAATTGAAGTGAAGAAGATTTCATGATAATGTTTTGTTTTGAGAGTTAATTTGATCTTGAATGTGAATGAAGTTGATTTAGTATTAAGAAGTGAACAAATTATACTTGGTGTCACCTGTTGGGTAGAAGGAGAGTGAAATGGATGAGATGTCTTTAGGATTCATATCAAATCATCAGCATTTGGCTTCTACTAGAACCTACAAACTTGGAAAGAACAACCAAGGATTCAACTTGAAGTGAGATTTATATAGTGGCAATCCTGATGATCAAAATAGATTTCAAGACATGTCCTTCATAGGAGTTTGAGGTATCAAGTGGTGGTAAACATGAAGAAAGTTGCATAAAAATGGTAGGAGAAAAAATCAATGAGAACTCAATTCATCAAGACTCTTTTTCAACCACAACTTCAAGGAGGTGAATATGTAAATGATCCACATTTTTTTCTTTACCCCTTTAATGTCGATAGCCAATATCATACCACCTATTATAGTTTGGCATCATATATTCAAAACTCTTGTAGCACATTCAAAAAACGTTGCATTCTGATGTATGCACTCTTGTACTTGCATTTTATCCACGTCATACTTCTGAGGCCTGCCGCCTGGGTCATTTCCCAAACGTTGGCAATGTTTTCCTGGGACCTGCAGCTGCTTTCATGCGGGCTATTGTGAGACCTGCAGTCACGTGAAATATAGTGGGTGTGACATCCATAGCAAAAGGTTGACACCCGCTCGTACGCATACAGGCTACAGCTCGTGAAACAAGTTGAACCCCAATCATCAACTTAATCGACCGATACACATTTCACATCACTCACTTTATACGCCACATGATGACGTCCTTGTGGCAATCCATTGAAACTTTAGGATACGACGCCATCGATCGTGGTTTGATACCTGATTTCATTTTACGACCGGCTATTCGGTTTATCTGTAGACAAAGACTTTCAAGTTTGAATCAAGGATCTGAGGAAGAACGTCATGAGAGAAAGATGGGATTTATTGAAGGACTTCGGGGAAAACCAGTGGCGATTGAACAAAGTTGGGTTTCATTGGATTATGATTCATTTAGGTTATCTTTCGATGAATGCTTTGTTTGCTTGCAATTTGACATTTTGTGAATCTTTGGTAATCTGTAGCAAAAGCCAACGAGCAACACTATGAAGTGAGTTTCTCGTCGTTTCATACATTCTGGAGATTTGGATGAGCGATCAAGTATTAGAGATATCTGTCATCTAATTTACCAGGGTGTTGAACTGATGCGTTGGTTCTGTTGATTCTGCGCGAAAAAGGTTCCAACAGAGTTTATCAAATCTTGTCTAGGCTCACACATGAAATACTCTTGCTGTTTATTCCTTGGTGGTCAAGAAAATCTAGACCAGGGAGAGGTATTGATGTTGGAGGATTATTGTGGTAAAGCTAAATTAAAAGATGGGATGAAGATTTTAGATTTAGGTTGTGGTTGGGGTAGTCTATGCCTTTATCTTGCACAAGTCAGTCTTCATTTCATTTGAGAGAAAGAAATTGATCTGATGGTTCATTTGTTTGGTAGAAATATCCAAAATCACAAATCACTGCTTTAAGTAATAGCCGCACACAAAAAGTTCATATAGATTCCTTGGCACAGGGGAGACAACTCTCGAATTTGAATGTGGTCACTGGTGACGTGATGAGTTTTGATTTTCCATCTTCGAACTCGTAAGTCATTTAGCTCTTCTAGTCAAATCAATATGAATTATCGATTAATGGTTGGCTCTGTAGCTTTGATCGGATCTTGTCTATTGAGATGTTGGAACATATGAGTGAGTAAATCTTTCTTGTCCAACAAAGGAGATTACTACAGAGCGTTGAGGATCTGTGGACAGAAAACTACGAATTTTTGTTCAAAAAGGTTTCAACCTGGCTCAACCCGGATGGATTGTTTTTTGCACACGTCTTTTGTCATACAATACATCCGTTAGCATTTTCACTCATGTTGACTTTGCTTGTGGTGATCATCCAAAAGGTGTATACTGATTGAAATGATCACATTTAGTTATCATTTTGAGTCAGATGATGGCTGGATGGCGCAAAACTTTTTCTCAGGTGGAACAATGCCTTCACTTGACCTGTTTGCATACTTTCAAAGAGATCTCGTGTTGGAAAAGTCTTGGTATATCAATGGGAAACATTATGGTCGCACTTCGGAGTTATGGCTCAAGCAACTCGATGCAAATGCACCTATGTGGTTGAACCAAAGAAGAAAAGATGCTAGTACTGCTCTCAATGGGAAATTCTCAACTGAACAAGAAATCAAAGATATGGAGAAAACTTTCTATCGATTCAGGACGTTCTTTATAGCAGTTGTAAGTGACTACCAAGATTTTTGATGGTGGTACTCTTACTGATGATTCGTTATACACATGGTCAATAGGCTGAATTTTTCGCTTTGGACGATGGTAAATCGTGGGGAGTGGCGCATTATGTATTCAAGAAAAAAAGTAGCTAGATCAATTGATGATCCATCAAGAAGATAAGAAGCTGTGTCGTGATGATCGGTGTTCTTTCCTTGTGAATTACATGAACAGAAGTACGAATCTCGGACCGCGACACCTTAATGAAGCGGTCTGAATAAATTTTTCTGACCTCAATCACTGCACATTGCCAAGTTCTTCAATGAGTTTGTTGACGCATATTGGTACGTGAGTAGGCTGAAGTGATGTTACCATCAAAGTAGCCACCACTGAGTCTTCTGCTCTGTTAGCGCTAGGTATGAGATACGTCTTTTTTCTATGCAATCATTCAAATCTTGTGCTTCCGTGCCATTCTCTTGAGTCTATCAATTCCTATTCATCCAAGATGATTCGGGGCTTACAATTTTTCCGGAAACAAAGCTCTGATCACTTTTACTCATTGCCTGGGAAACTGTGCTTATCAAACATGTACTCCCGGCGTTCAACTGAGCTTCAGGATCTTATCACGGAGATATTTGCTAATTGTCACATGGTATTTTGAGTTGATTGAACGACGCGAGTCTACCGATACCTACCGATACAATTTCGCGACTGAAAATTACATCGCCAATAAGCTGTACTGAGATACACCTGGAAGCTTAATCGGCTAAGGAAATATAAGCGTCGAGCATGTATCTTCGTATTCTACCGAATGGCATCATCATCGGCTTATGCCCAGCCAATATCTCGGTTGCTTGTGCACCATTTCCGTTTGGCATCTCCGCTTCTTTGCTCATCCCAAATGTCAGACTGATATTCATCATCCCTTAACATCTTCAACAGATATGGGCCTCAGCACAATCGAACTTGTAGCTTCCTCACTTGGAACGAGCCTTGTGGGTGGCGTCAGTATCCTTTTAGCATCAAAGCTTGATTTTCTGAAGGAACAGCGATGGAGAGGTCCAAAGGTGGTTGTCTGTATCGCGGCTGCTGTCTCCGCCATCCTAGCTTGGGCGACCAATTTGATGGAGGTCATCACTCGAGAGCAAGAATCGGTTCAAGGACAGAGCTCAGGGCCAGGCATAGCTTATGGATTGATGGTTTTGGTTTTTGGGTAAATCCTTTCAAGCATCTAATCATATCTGTACACACTTGGCTTACACTGTCAAACGTCTTTGAACATTACATTTGTTTCCAACTGACATACCTCGACCGGTTTTTTTTGGGCATATGTTACGAATACTACCCGTCCTTTGATCAATCAATAACGCCTCGATTGAAGCCTCACAGGTACTTTGAAACGATTGACCGCCTGGTCCCGACTGAATCGAGAAAATACAACATCAGTAGCCTTACAGACAACTCTCACTTGGGTTGCATGGATCTTCATTGCATTAGCTATGATCGAGAGCCTGGTATTTCTTTTCATGAGTATCATGAGCGTCCAACCTCCTAGTTTGGTACTCGTGTGGTGAGTGGCTATCGAATTTATCACGATCATCTGATGCAGGTTATCGTTTCTGACAGAGAGGTGATGAAATATTACCAGCGCTCTCTTTGGGTTGACTTTTTTGTCTGAGATGGTAGTGTGGTTCTCCTTGATACTCAGTGGTCTTAGGATCAGTTCACGGTCAGTCAGAGAGGCTTGTCCGCGGAATATCATTACAGGAGCCATTCTTGTTTACTGATGAACTATATATATGATTATATATGATTTTTCGGAAAACTGTTCTAGGGCTATATCGGCGGTTCTTGAGATGATTTACATCTGGTCATTGATCGGCTATCTTTTAACAAATGCCACGCACAACATCTCTTTCAAACCGATCTATGAAATATGTAAGCATGCGGAAGTTCGCCTATCGAGTTCTTTCTTCAAACATGGTCATATAACCGCTTCTAATTCACTTACCTTTGAAGATTTCAGCTCTGGGATCTTGGCCTTGATCGTGATTGCTGAGTGCTCCCATCCTAGCGCGTTTCCAGATCTTGCAAAGGAACGGATCGCTTCACGGAGGTCGGAGAGTATACCAGAAAAATATGACTCACCCAGAAGTTTTCTCTCGGTCCGACTTGATTCAAGCAACTTGTCGGAATGTGCTAGAGACATTATTAAAGAGGTATGTACCTCTGATCAACTCTTGAAATTTCACGCTGTTTTTCAGTTGAAAAGTTGTGGGATGTTGATGTTGATGTTGTGACTTCCAGGCCGGACTTGGGATACAAACAACAACTGAGGGAACCACTCCAGGTATTCCACAATCCGGGAAAGCTGTCGGTCATGGATCTTCCGTTGATCAGCGAGATCATCCATCTGATTCCGAACTATCGCGTTTCGTCGATTGCACAACTCCGTCTATCAGTTATGTCTCACAAACAGACCTTCCAGAGACCATCAAAGATGCAAGCATAATAGAAGAAATAAAAGAAAGTAAAGATTTGATCCATAGAAATCACTCGATACAAATCGATGCCAATGAGGATGTGAGTCATATGGGCCAAAATTCGAGATCTTCAGTAGGGATTGGGCGATTGAAAAACGCAACGGAGCCAGCCGTCTCATCGCCTATATCGACGTCAGGTTCAAGTTTTTTCTCTGCATTGCATTGATGTAAGCAATAAATTTAATTACATCATGAGTGTTCAGCAAGTTGTATCTTACAATTGGTTCAAATGCTTGGGTCGAATTTTAGGCTCTTTTAATTTTTAGAACGACTGAAGGATACGAAATCAGAGGGATCATGATAATGGGACATGTGAATTCAAGCAAAGGCTTCCTCTCCAAGTCAGGATAATTATGACATTGAAGGAGGCAAGCGTAATGAGTAGAGCGGTTTTGAGGATTTTTAATGCGATCTTTGTGCGAGTCTCAAGATGACCAAGCGAGACTTTTTAATGCCCATATGTACTTGTAAGACTTTAATAGTAATGTTCTTGTTCATGAAGTCAAATGATGTCGAGCTTATCCCGCTCGCGCACATTTTTGATCTCAAATTTGATTGGGTATGAGAGCAAAAAAATGCGGGTTAGTATGTCCTTCAATGACAAAGATTCGCTTTGCCATCATGAAATAATGGGAAAAATTGATCTTCAACCTTATTGAGGTATTGTTAGACTTTGAGGCGAGGCAACAAGGTGGCCCAGCACCTCCTCCAGCTAGGGCTGTGACCCGGTAGCAGGCCTTTAGGTCCGGCCTCGAGAGCTGCCCGGCCCTGGGTAGACCCAATAGGCTTGAAAAAATGCACAGGGCCAACCAAGGTGCAACCTGAAGTTTGGGACTCGGGCCAAGGGCTTCAAGGCACAAAATGGGGGTGGACAGGGGATATCTTTGGCCCATATTGCAATTCTATGTGTATGAGAATCTAAACAAAAAAGTTAACATGCTCTAAGCGCCTACTCAGAAAGTTGACATAGCCATGAAAAGATTTTTTTAATTCTATGTGTATGAGAATCCAATCATAAAGGTTTATATGAGTCATGAGTCAAATAGTCTTGAAAAGGAAACAAAAGAATTGGACCCTTCAATTCTATGTGTACGGGAATCTGATCATAAAGAAATCAAGTCCATTTTGCTTTTTTATGAAATTTTGGGACCCAGCTCTTAAGAAAAACTTGAGCCTCAAGGTTTTGAGGAGTGAAGTGAGCTCTCTGACAGAGCACTGGTGGCAGGCACAGCAAGCCTTGCTTGCACCATACTTGATAGGATGGTCCAGTGACATTGAGAAAGTTGCCAGTGGCCAAGGACATCAAGTGCTTGTCTTTTTGAGGGGGGGTGAGATACTTGGTGACTTCATGTTGCACTGAAACTGTCTCTGTCTTGCAATGCTTGATAAAATTTTGGGGACATTTGAGGTTGAAGGTTGCTTCACTTTGTATGATTTCAATATCAGGCTTGGCAGGAAGAACAAAGTTGACAGTTTCATTAGTGAAAGACTCTGTGAGGTCTTCAAGTCCCCAACCTAACAACTCTGAAGTTGGACCTCTGCCATAAGTTTGAGATAAGGGTGAAGTATTGCAGCACATATCTAGACAGCCTTTTTCTGGGCTGCCTCTTGATATTGCACAATCTTCTTCATCATTGGCATGATTGCCACTTTGAGTTACTTGCAAGAGAGGTCATGCCAGGCCTATACCAAATAAGGAATATATCAGTGAACAGTTTAAAAACCCTGAAGTTGAAATGAAGACTTGGTTTGTCAGGTTATTCAACCAAACATTGATAATCAGGCATAATCCAGGAGCATATGGGGTACTTGTACTCTTTTATCCCACTGATAGTTGTAGCAAGAGGTGCTAAAAACTTGACAATAGTACCAACTAGCACCATTTCATTGTTGTTGAGTGAGTATGGTTTAAGTGCTGGATTAACCATACAAGCATAAAATATGGGTCAACAGAGCCTGTAGAAAAGTTCAAGGTAGTTTTGAGTTGAAACTCCATGCACTAATTCATTCCTATGCTCTAAATATTGATTGTCTGCATTGCTGCTGTCAACGGCTGCTTTGAGCTGGGAACTGTGTTTTTTTGAGGAAGGAAGAGATTCAAGTGAGAATACTGGTGACACCAGCATACGTGGTTGGTTCAATGAAAAGAGGGACAGAAGAGTGTGGTTGTGGTAAGACAGGATCAAGAGTGTTCACTGAAGGAGGAGATGTCTTGCAATTGGATATGGCCATCCCAGCCTAAGCCACAAGGCTTACACCATGTGCAAAACAGCCATGGAGATGCTCAGAGGAATCGAAGTGGGGGATTTTAGCGGAGAAAAATTGACCCATGGTGGTATTGATCAAAGTGTGGTTGGCAATAATGCAGTAGAATTGATTGGTGATGTTGAAGGAATCCAGAATGTGAGTAAGTAGACTAGCAATATTGGGTCCAGTGCAAGGACCTTCAATGGCCTATAAAGCTAATGTAATTACAGGAATCTCAAAAGATGGAGATATCAGATGAGCTGTAACACTCAATATCACAATGTCAGTTGATGAAGTCCATCATCAAATGTGATGCTGATGGGTCTGACAGTTTAGAGGAGTCTGGTGATTGCATCTTGGCTGGCTTAAGTACAGTAGGCCAAAATTCCATTCACAGCCCCCTACCGCAAGTCACTGGTGGTCCAGTGCGTCCTGGCAATTTGAGAATGTTTCAAATTGGGTTTGAATTGTAAATCAAATGAATATTACCAATTTATTGAGATACCACCAAGATTGAGATGATTTTTGTTTTGTTTTTTTTGTTTTTTGTTTTTAAGTGCTTTTGATTTCACATGTCGCACGAGCTAACTTAGTGTAATTTAATGTAACTATCGTACAACTCCAGTGTATATCTTATAATAGATAGGACGAAAAGCCCGTTAGTTCGTACTCCAGGACTTCAGCTTCCACAATGGTTATGTATTGATTACCTATAATAGATAGGACGAAAAGCCCGTTAGTTCGTACTCCAGGACTTCAGCTTCCACAATGGTTGAGGAGAGGAAGCTTCCGTCGGAGTAGAACGGAAATACATGACTACAACAACTGTACAAGCACGTGATCTGCTGTGGCGCAGTCGTGTACACATAACACCCCCCCCACGACCAGACACAGCACATCTCCTCCTCCACGCACAAAAAAATAAAGTAAACAAAAAACAAAAAATTGAAAAAAACACCACATAAAAATCAGAAAAAACATAAGAAAAAAATCATCACTCCAAACACAAGTTCTTCTTCCCTGCCGCAAAAAGATATGGGCCCAGTGCCTTTGTGAGAATATCAGCTTTTTGATTTTTTGATTCAACCCAGTGTAGAGTAATTGTCCCCTTAAAACGTTGTTCATTAATGTAATAGAATTCTCGTTCAGTATGTCGAGTTCTTTTGTTCGATGAATTATCCTTCAAGACATGAATCGCTGATGTATTGTCACAATGCATCAAAACCGGCCCCATCGCACCTAGTACATCACTCACTAAATTCCTCAGCCACACCGCATCTCTCGCAGCCGTCCCAAGCACCATGTATTCAGCGTGGCACGTCAAAGTCGCCACACAACCTTGCCTTTTTGACGTCCAGGCCAGCGGACAACCCATAAAGAAGGTCACAAAACCATGCACTGATCTCGCATACTCCCCACCCCAATTGGCATCCACATACGTATGCAACCCTATCTTCACCTCTCCCTTCAACGGTTTCAGCTTCAGTTTCACACAACCACTCCCCTTCAAATACTTCAGTACGCCTTGTACCGCATCCCAGTGTTGTCTAGTTGGTCTTGCCGAGTACCTTGCTAAGAAATTCGTAGCATAAGTTAAATCAGGTCTCGTCGCGACAGCCAGGTAGTTGAGGCATCCAATCACCGATAGATAACGTGTCTTGTCAATCTCTTCCTCATCGTCTTTTGGTGAAGTTGGTAGATTTGAAGAGTTAAGAGGTGTAGTTGATTTACCTTCCACCTCCAAAAAGTCACTCACTATCTTGTTTGTTAAGCCAGGTTGTGATAATTCGAATGAGCCATCCTCCAATCTGTTCACGTCAATACCAATGATACAATCCAGCTTCTCTGACCACCTAATTTTCAAATCCTTCTCCAATTCCTTTCCTAACTCTCTCAACAGCTCCACACTACTACCAGTCACAGCACCATCATCAACGTGTACCCACACTATGCACACCTCATCACCACGACAACACACGTACAAAGACTGATCAAATTGACTTGGTCGAAATCCTAATTTCTTCAAGATCTTTTCGAAATGCTTCCACCAGCAACGTGCACCTTGCTTAGTTCCGTATAACGTCTTCACCGCTTCAAGAATTTTGTTCGCCTTCCTAGCCTCATTCATGCATCCAGGAGGTAAATTAAAGTAAACTTTCTTAGTTATATCACTATGTAAATAAGCTGCCGTCACGTTGTGGTGAGCAAGATCTCTACTTAAGCAAAAAAATATTTAAAAATTATGTGGAAACTCGAGTTTTTGGTCAAAGGCACTATTATTATTGAGGTTGTTAGTCATCAAGGTTATTAAAGTTGATTCATTATTTTCATTTCATTATCTTTCAGAATATATATTTACATAAGCAATTGATAAGATCATTTAAGGGCAAAGAAAAATTCGAAAAGATCAATAAAAATAGTAAAAGAGTGAAAATCATATTAAGAGAATTAGTAAGAAGGGATTTGAGGAAGAAGAACATTTAGTTTGGATCTTTAAGAATGGAAACTGTTATGAAAAGAATGAAAGAGGAAGAAGAATATAAAGCAAGTTGGAGAAAAATTCGAAAATATGGGTATGAAAGCTTGGAAAGTGGTTTTTAGTTTATTAATAGAAGAGATATTGGTTCAGGAAGGTTTTATTGTGAAAGAGAAGGATCACATTAGTCATCAACAACTTTAATCATGTAGATTGATAAGGGAGGTGTGAAGTTATTCAAGAAAAGGGAAATTTCGAAGAAGGGTACTATGGTATTAATTCCTGTGTAGTGATGTCATTGATGGATTGGTTGCGCCAAGAGTTTTTCACAAGGATTTTAGTGCTGTGTGATTGATTGGAGCGCTATGGAATGATCTTTTGATAGAAGGAAAATCATTATTAGACGTGAAAATAGTCAAAATTCATCAAAAATGGGAGTTTTTAGTTAATTACATATGGTAAAACTTGTCAGAATTGGGTGTGTGATAGTTCATTCGACGCAGAATCATTGGTTCCATAATGTACAATCTTTAAATCATTAGTAGCGGAGGAGTAGTGAAAAAGTTATAAGGCAACAAAGAAACTGGAGTGAATTTTGAATTTGGAGGTTACATGTGACATTTACATGACAAAACCTTATTTTTGCAATCTTTACAACTCAATACCTTATTCATCACACATCAGAAATAGGTGATATAGGGGTGATAAATGATCAGAATCACGAGGGCTATCAAATGAGCTATAGTAATCCAAAATTGAACAACTTTACAAAAAATTCGTAATTCCAAAAATGGATTTCAGCTATGAATATTAGGAAAAAATCACCTGTATTCATCATAAGAAGATCTGTTCATCATTTATTCACATCAATTGATCAAATTCACGCCTTGAATCATTACAAACAATAATCTTTATGACATCATATGATTACATTGGAGGAAATTCTGTTGATT